GACAATAGTTCATACTTTGTAATGGTCTTCTAATATGTAAAGAATGAAAAGGACAGATATTTAGTCTGCTTATAGATCTGATATTGTATATCTCATTGTATATCTGAGATTCCATTTACCTAAATACTGTTACTTACAAAATTTCTGTCAGTAACTGCTCAGCTATGCAGAGATTGTGCGTTTATGAGTGCAAATGGCCTCCTGATTTTTAGAAAACAAAAACTAGCTCTTCTTTGGCAGCAAAACATTTCCAGTGATCTTCTTTTCTCACATTAAATAACAAAGATTGGATTTTTCTAAATGTTTTGTCTATGCAACATCTTTAACACTTTAATTGATCTGAAATGATCTTGGCCTTGTAAAGTATTCTCACTGAATGGCTAGGTTTTTCCTTTCTCTTTGAACCAATGAGAACATTTTACAGCACCTGGTTCTTTAAAAAGCAAAACTCATGCCATACCTACAATGTTGGCACAATGCCAAGAAAGCCTTTTTGTGTGTGTTTGTGGTGAATCATTCATAGTCTGTAAGGTCTATCAAAACAGCGTTGTTTGAAAACCTGGTTTTACCTATTTTTTTTCCTTCTGATGACTCATACTTTAATACTTTCATGTTAGATTCTCTTTTCTTGTTTCTCATCATGTTCATTCAGAGGGAGTTCTTTCACTAGTTCCAAAATGTGAATTTCTATATTCTGTCAGTTTTCATCTTGAAACATACACACAGCAATATGCTCTGAATCATAAAATTCTACATTAAATCCCAACATTTAAAAATACCCCACTTATTCTCAATTCAGGTTTACCTGCACTTCTGTTCCCATTTTTATTTAGTACAAATTTATTAACATTTTAAATTCATTGGCACTTGAAACTTCATTTCATCTGTTAGGAAGATTTTGGCTACAAGAAACGTGATGCTATGTGGTGGCTTAAACAATAAGGACACTTAACACCTCATGTATGAATATGAAAAGTATGGTGGTTTCACGGTTAGCTGAATGAGTAGTTCAAAAATGGTCTTAAAATCTCAAGTCCTTCCCACCATTTCTTTCAAGTCAGTTTTTATTGATACACAATTTACATATAATAAAATCCATAAACTTTAAGTGTATAATTAGGTAAGTAATGGCACAGCAGTAATCATGTAATCACTACCACAATCAAGATATTAAACATTTCCATCATTCCAAAAAGTTCCATTAGTTCTTTTGCAGTCAGTCCTATTCCAACATAGTCCCTCATAATTTAAATAAATTATAGTATGTACTCATTGTGTCTTCTTTCCTTTGCATAACACCATGCTTTTGAGATCCATCCAGATTGTTGCTTGTGTCAGTAGTTTGTTTCTTTGTTGCTTGTGTCAGTAGTTTGTTTCTTTTTATTGCCGAGTGATATTCCACTGTTTAGGAGATATACTGTATACCATGATATGTTTATCCATTTTCTATTTGTTGGGAATTAGAGGTTTTTTCCAGTTTTTGACTATTTATATGAAGCTGCTATAAACATTCACATACAAGTATTTGTGTAGATATATGTTTGCATTTCTCTTAGGTAAATGCCTAGAAGTTATAATATGAATGGTGGGTCATATGCTAATTATATGCTTACCATTGTAAGAAATTGACGAACTGTTTTCCAAAGTGGCTGTACCAGTTTGGATCACCATGAGCAATCTATGAGCCTCAGTTACTCCACATACGACCAAAATGTGGTGTCTTAACAGTGCTTTTGAAGAACATTTTTTATTTTGATAGTTAATTTATCAATTTCTTCTTTTAGGCTTTCAGCTTTTTTTGTACATTCTAATTCAACACAGTCAAAGGTCACAAAGATTTACTAAATCCAAGACCATAAAGATTTTCTTGTAGGTTTTCTTCCAAATGTTTTAATAGTATTACCTCTTATATTTAGATTTAAGATTATATTATGATCAATTTCAAGTTAGTTTTTAATATGAGGTATGAGTTAAGGATTGAGGTTCTTTTCTTTCTTTCTTCTGTCCTCCTTCCCTTTTGTCTTTTTGTATATTTGGATATCTAAGTATGCTAACCTCATTTGTTCAATGTCCTGCCATTTCTGGTGAATTAGATTTATACTTTGTCCTTTTCTCATGGTCACAAAATGACTGCAGAAATTCTATGTATTACATCCAGCATGATAACTAGAAAAGACCATCTCTTTATAGAAGTGTCCAGGAAACTCTTCTTCACCTCGTTACCTAAACGTCATACATGCTTACTATCTAAACCGATCACTGGAAATGGGAATAGGCCAACCATAATTCATTTACTCAAGAAACAAATATGCTTTAACAAGAAAATGGTATGTTTTCTATATGCTTCCTAGGGACCAGGAATACATCAGTGACTAAAACAGCCAAAATGTCTACTTTCGTGGAGCACACAATCTTCTGAGGAAAACTATTTGTCTCTTTTCATAATAAATAAGTAACCTGTATATATTGTTGTACAATAGTAAGTACTAGGAGGGAAAAAAGAAGAGGGGCTATGAAATACTGTGGGTAGGTTGAAATTTTAGATAGATTAGTAAGGAAAGGCCTCATTGAGTGGACTTTTGAGTTAAGAACTGAGAAAGTGATAGAGTAGGCCATACAGATACAAGATTGAAGAGTGGTCCGGGCAGGAGGAAGTCCTGAGAATAATAAGAAGGCTGCCGTGGTTGGAAGGAATAATAGGAAATGGGGATACTCCTAGTAATAGGAAATGCAGAACATGTAGACGATTGTAGATGATTCCCAATCAAGGGGCCATTTTGCCAAAATTTACAAAATTTGGTAATGTCTGGAGATTTTGTCATGGGAAAGCCAGGGATGCTGCTAAATATCCTACAAGGCACAGGGGACCTCACCACTGGACCCTCCTTGCCCTCTCAACAAAGAATTATCTGGCCCAAACATCAATAGCACCAAGATTGAAAAATGCTGTTTTAGGTCATAGTAAGGACAGGCTTATAGTTAATGAATTGGAATGACACTCTAGTGTTTTGAACAGAGGGAGATCTAATTTAAGCTTTAAAAAAAGAATTTAGGAGGGTACTACAGTTAGCCATGGTGTTTTGGACCAGGATGATGGCATAGGCGTGGTAAGAAGTGGATATATTTTGAAGGTTGAGTTAATAGGATTTACTAACTTTCATAGACTCAATGTGTCCTCTGAAAATTCTTCAAAGAAATGGTATTAGGAGGTGGGGCTTTTGGGAGGTGACTAGGTCATAACCTCTTTAGTCCTCAGAATTGTGAAAAATAAATTTCTGTTGTTTGTAAGTCACCAAGTCTATGGTATTCTGTTATAGCAGCCTGAACAAAAACACTGACATACGAAAGATACAGGTGTGAAAGAGAAGAGCCATATATGACCCCTCAAGAGTAATCAGTTGTGGCTGTTGCTACAGTTTCATCTTTCCAAAAAAGTAACCTGGTGAAGAGGGTAGAAATCTGAATGCCTTTGAATAGGAGAAAAAAATGCCCATATGGATGTTTGGATAGGCAACGGATAGCATGTTACATAGGTGTCTTATGGAAATAAGAATAGATATTGTTGGATTAGTGAATGGCTACCTTAAAGGGCACAATTATTCTACATATAGATAATGCTGGGTTTGTTAAAAAATGTTTTTATATCCTCAGCACCAGTTGCTTTTTAAAAATGTCTTCTCATGCCATCTTTCTCTTGGTGACAATTTGATAGATGTAGTAAAACCTAAAACCTTTATTCCTTCCAGTATTGACATCCCAAGCAATTATTTTCTACAAAGGATGTTGATACAGTTTAATAATTGCTTCTTGAACATTGTTTTGTCTACTCTAAAATATTATGTATATAAGCTCATCATAAGTCTTTAATAAATGTTAGAAAACTACTTAATATATTTGTCTCACTTATTTATCCTAATATCTTACAATTTATAAGCTGGTAAGGATCCTCTTCTAGACCACATTCTACTTACTCTTTTTCAGCTAGGCCTTGACTTTTGGACTTCCATATCCTCCACATTGTGCAATTTTGGAAAGAATCCTGCTAAGTCAGTTGCAGAGAAGCCCATCCTCTGTAACTGATCACACTCTATACCTGATACAGTCTTTTATCTTCCACCTTCCCCCAGGGGAGTTCTGATCACCTGGCCGGCTAAGAATCCTTTTAGCTCAGCTTAGCCAGAATCCTCTCTTTACTAACCCTGATGATTTTCACTTAGTAATTTTCTATCCACCGCTCGACGGCTATAAATTTCCCCTTTGTTGTACGCGAAAAGCAGCTCAGTTCTTTGGTTCTATTACAACAGTTTTGAAAGAAGTCTTCCTTACCATTTTCACTTCCTTATTCATTTCATAGTGACTTTCTCTTTAATAAACCGGGTTTATTTACTAAACAAATAACCTAAATAACTAGGGTTATCTCCACTTCATAGTCAAAGGAAATTGAAGTTTTATAAAATAACTGCGTTTAATTAAGCTTATCCAGCTAGTAAATAGGTCTTAAGCCATATGCCTGAGAACTTAAATGCTGGGTTACAGGCCTTCCTACTCACATTACGCTTCTTGCTCCAGAAAGCCTGGCGAGTATGAACAGTTGCCAGGTAGATGCTCAGTAAGGGCTTGCCCATTTATTTGGAAGCTCTGGTGCTGAGATCATGCCACAGGAGACCTAAAATTCCTCCTACCTCGCCGTGGTTGTTTCACACCAAACTGATCTGACGGTTCATCCTCCAGACTCCGGCGGGAGAGGGTGTGTGGCAATAATACAGCTCCCTCTTCCCGTCGGTATCACCTGCGGGCAGACAGGCAGTGGGAACGACAGTGCGGGATGCCGCCTGCCTGAGGCTCCTCGGGCCGCATGACCGGCGTTGCCGGTGTCTGCGCCGCCAGCGAGACGGGGCGGGCCCGCCAGGCAGTAGTGAACGTAGTTAAGCCGCTGCCGAGGGCCGGCTCGGCGCAGGGCCCGCCTTCCCGCAGGAGTAAAGGTCCTTGGCCCCGCCCTCCCCGAGAGGTCGGCGGGAGGCGTCGCGCGCGGACTGGCGGCGGGCACATCGAGGGCCGGGGTCAGCCTTCTCCAGCAACGAGCCCTGGGGTCCGGGAGGTACCCGGCAGCTCCGCGCCCCGCTCTCGGCCTGCCCGCCCCCGCCGCAGGCCCCGGGAGGAGCGCGGTCGCAGTGAGACTCCGGGCCTCGCGGCCGCGCCTCAAACCCCGTCCGGGCGGGCTCCCTGCTAACGCGGTTGGTTCCTTACTTTTCCCGACTTGGAGCGAGAACCTGGCGTCCTCTTCAACTCGCGTTTGCCCAAAGCACGGGTTGGAGGCGTTGGGGGCACACGGGGCGAGGTTCTCTTTTCTCGGGTTTAGAGAGAGCTTGCGGCGGGAAGTCCGTTCCAGGAAGCTGCTGGCTTTGCGGTGGTGCTGGCGGGGCCGGGCCTGGAGTCCCGGGGCCGCCGACGGGGTCGCGCAGGGCAGCCTCCGCCCGCAGGACGGGTCGTCGTGGCGGCCCCGAGCCACCGCTGGCGCGGGTTCAGGCCCCCAGAGCCCCTGTGTGTCCGCGGAAACTAGGGTGGAGAGGTCTTCCTCATAGCCCTGGGGAGGAGCCCCATAGCAGAAGGGTCGTCCGCGTCAGGGACTGGCCTTGAGGGGAGGCCGTCGCCTCCTTTAGGGAACTGAGCTCGCCCACGGTGTACATTTTATTATCAGTCACCTGTCAGGTCTCAAATTCTGAAGCTGCGGACTTTAGCCGACGCCGTTTTTGTACTCTATACTTATTTAGAATTTATTTCCTGCTGAAAAATTGTTCTTTGAAGACTTTAGGTTTTAGAACAACAAATACGTATTAGACACCAGTATATATAAATCACTGGTCAAGGGGAACCTCTCCTCCAAGAACCCCCCAAACTTTTTCGACTTTAGGCATGGTCCACCATCTAAATACCTGGCTTCTCTTGTATTCTTGCTAGGAGGAGGACAGGTGAATACTGTCAAAGATTTCTGCTGTGTTCCTTTGCTTTACCTGGGTCGTGCTAAGTAACCCAGGACATTGGATGGAAGTTCAGTGGAGGAGGGAAAATGTATTAAAAGGAACAAACGTTCTCATTTCGGAGATGGAAGATTATGCAAGGAATACTTTACATTAACTTTCATTTCAAAAACATTCACCGGTTTTTTAAATATTCTTTGGAAAAGTTACCTTCACATTTTAAATTAATTTCAGGCATAATTGGGGTTTTTTTTCCGCTCCTGAGAAATTTTCTCTTCCAACTCAGAATCTCTCATTGTGAAATTCACTAACCTGTGTACAAGTATAATCAATTGATTAAAATTGTATGACTATATTATGGAGTATATGCTTTTGTTTTTGGCAGTACTGCCATTAATCTCTAAGGGAGGTTAATTTTTGCTTTGGTGAGGGTGGGAAGGGACACAGTATAGAGAAACAGGAAAAAGCTGAAAGAGTAGCATGCCAGCCTTAAAACCCCAGTGGCCTAGTGCTCTGCTAAGTTATATATCCATGAAAATCCCAGGCTTATTTAAAAAATACTGAGTACCTCCTCTATGTCAGTTGTGATTGGCCATGATATACATGGCCACCATCTCCATGTTTTCCCAGTGCACAACTGTATTTTCTCCTGACTGAAGATCTCATCTTTGACACTTAGCATTCTCAATGGAAAGCATATTTGCATGTGTATGAAATTTATTTAGTCTTTGTGATTGGAAATTGTAAACTTCTTAAGGTGTATTCTGCACTGTTAGTATTATAGACATCCACCCTTCCCCCACTCCCCATTAAATTAATTCTGGAAATGTTAGGGGAAGTTCAACAGGTTTTAAATATCAGTATCTCTTAGATTTCAGTGTTGTAATGTATGTGAATCTCCAGTTTGAATATGGTGTATAGGCTTTTCCAATCCCAAGTGATTTCAGAATCCTAATTTATATAGGAAGTGAGAAAGACGTTTTGAGACATGTATTTAAACTGGCGTTTTGTTTTTTATTTTTAATCACTTATCTCACCCCTTCTGCCAACAGAAGTAATGCCACCAAGAAGAAATGAGAAATACAGACTTTCTGTCCCACTTCCAGAAGGGAAGGTTTTGTATGATATGGAAGGAAACCAATGGGTGCTGGGCAAGATAATTGGCTCTGGAGGATTTGGACTGATATACTTAGGTAAAGTATATGTTATCAGATAATTTTATATATGTGACTGTAACTATAATCACTTAAAAATATTTTGAAAGTTGAAACTTTGAAATAAATAGAATTCATAAATATACTTTATTAAGGAATATAAAGATAGTTAATGTTTATTAGAATGTGTAGGTTCAGGATATGACTGACCCTGTTCCTTGTTGTCCATGTTTTTCTCAATGACTCTTAGAAGTCTTTTCAGAGTATAATGACATAATCTGCCAGACAAAATTTTAATGTTGCCTTTTGAGGGTGTGTCTTCCTTGAAACCTTGCTTTTTACAGCTCAGAAATCACAACTGAAACAAAAACACTTTCCATTTGTGAATCTTAATCATTAATATTTAAGTAATACAAGATTCTAGTCATTTCTTAACTAGGCTTCACTAGAGAACTGAGCCTTAATACCTTCAAGGCATTTATTGCATGGAATGAATTAAACATCACTCCTGTGCATTTGGAGTGGTACTAGATATGTACCATCACTGAGATAATTGAGAAAATAGAAACTTAATTTTTTGTGGGTTTTTTTTGGGCAGGTAAGGAACCTAGCTGAGTATACTTTTACACTACACTTAAACGTTTAAAAATTATACTGAACTTAAAAGGATCATTCAGGGTTAACTTAATTGTGTGATTGTATTCTGAAAAGACCTCTAGGAGTCATTCCAAAATACATGAACAGCAACAAGTAGGGTCAGTTATGTCCTGAACCTACACATTCTACTAATTACCTTAGTTTAATGATGCAAGGATATACAAGTTAAATATTAGTGATTAAAAAAATTATCCTCAAGGATAAATTCTAAATGTATTGTCTCATTACATATGTTTCTGTTGAAGTTTAAAAGGTGGTAAAAGACCTTCATTGGGGGAATCTTGGGTTCTTCATTAAGCATTTCAAACTGCAGAGTGGTAAAGACTTTCCCTCCTCTCCTGGGTTCAAGAGTTGGGTCTATGAAATAAACAGAGCAAGCAGGTTAACAGGAGAAATGGTATATACAAGAAAAGTCTGAATACAAGAAAGCTATTGCTTTGGATCCCAAAGCTTATCAGTTATACGTTCAGTTTTTTAACATTCTAATTACTTGAGTAATTTCAAAGAAGTACAGCAAAGCATTGATTGTAATCTTTTTATTCCTTTTCTCTTTTTAAAATATAAATACTATTTGTGTTAATATGTGTTTAAATTTAAGTGCATGTTTAAAATTAAATATATGCCTGTGCACATATATGTATATGTATACGTATGTGTGAATCACACTGCTTGTGTGATTCCTGTTGTGAGAAAGGAATTTATTTGCTCAGACATGTGATTTATTTGTCCCTGTTCAAACACAGAAAAATCTTTACTTCTTTCAGTCTAAATAGGTGTCACATATTTTACCTACTTTTTCTCATTACCAAAATAATATTTGTTTTACAGTAATTTTCAATCTTCCATATGTTAGGCAGTACCTGCTACTATCTGAATTTTAGAACATGGATCCAAGGAATATTAGCAAGTGTACACCATTGGAGAAAAGCTTTAAGGAAATGTATAACTATTTTAGTAAAAGTCCCTATACTTCAGATATATAAAAAAGGTGTATGTTCCAAATGTTGTCAGTTTCATCAAAAGTGGCACTCATAAATAATAGGATCAGCTCTTTTGTTGGATGCCATCAGCAATAACTTCATGAGACTTAGTTTTTACTGACTGTTTTAAATGCTAAGTAAATCCATATGAAATTATATCATGTTTTTGCATTTTACCATGGTTTTTATCACTTCCTGTAAATAAATGAAGCAGCAGGTAAACTCAAGCTTTCCTTAATACCGTTGTGCCCAACTGTTTTCTTTTCAGATATTATTCTTTCCAGATACACTGTTTTGGCAGACACTTCATCAGCATTTGATGCCTAAGGCTGAGAAGAAACTAGCCGCTATGTCTAGCTCACTGTGCATGTACAAGTGTCCTCTATCTTTGAGATCAATAGCCAGGGCCTTTCAATAATCAGCAACTTACAGTAAAGGGGAAGGGGCAGAGAAGTTTGGTGTTTACTTATGACTTGGAGAAATAATGTGCCTGTAGCATTAATAGAAGTAGTTATAAGAGGGAAAAGAAAAGTCTGAATACAAGAACAAAGTCAAGGTTCTCTTTTTGTATATGAAAAGAGAAGGGGGATACAGGAAGAAAGGAAACTGGTTTAGGGGATGGAAAAAATTGCTGTTATTTTAGTAACAAATAAGTGAAAAAGTTTCTAAAATTCCAGGGAAGGAGAACTGAGAGTTTGAATTCTACGTTAATGAAATGTGTAACATAGAACCAGGCAAACTAAGAGAGAATTGGATAAATAAGAGTGTTTAAATAAGAGGTTTAAATCTGAGTTGAATTCTGACCTCACATCACCTCGTCACTAGTCTTTGTTCTGTTCTATGTAATTGGGATAATAGTAATTGTAGAAGTAAATGAGATAATGTTTTTAAGGAACTTGGAACTTGGTAAGCAGTTAAATGTAATTTATTTACTTATTTAGAATTTCCCATTCTGAATGATAGTTGAAAACTAGGTTCAGTATTTGGTGCCACGGTGGATTAGGATGCTGACAAAGTCATCTGTTGGAGAGACTTTCCATTCATTTATTCATACATGGATTGTGATACATTTAGGTACTAATGTAGTAAAACTCAGAACATAGAGAATGTCAGTGGAAGACTATAACATTTTACTTACCAACCTAAATCTATTTTCCCCCTACAATTTACAAGAGTGGCCATAATGAGAGTGAAAACTTATTTACACTGTATCTTATCTGCTTCAGATCTGAAAGATACTGGGTTTCAGAAATTGGAAATCCAGAAAAATAGAATTATAGGTAATAAGCTTCAGCCAGATTCCTTTGAAGTCTTATTATTTGAGTAATAACAGAAGTGATTTATCTGTGGAAGCATTAGTTTTTTGAGGTTGGGCATAGTGAAGACCATTTAGTATCTTTGGAATATCAAGCATAGGCTCATGTTCCACATTGTTTGCCTGAGAGACTGAGACAAGTTTGGGATACTTAATCCACACAAACCAATTTGCTTTATTCTTTCCCATAATTTACAATGTCACCCTTAATTCCAGCCTGTAATCTTATAGAAATATACTCTTAGTCACAAGAAAAGCTGACAAGTTGACAACTATCATGATGCCATCTAACAATATGTGTATTCTTTACTGACAGTAAATCAATAATATTATCTTTTATGAAGAACCATACATTATTATAACTAAAATTAACTCAGGGAAAGTCTTAAGATCAACTCATTTATCCATGGATGAATGTTTAGACTTCATCTAAGTGACTGTTGTACATATTTTTGGGTCATGCTCTCAGATTAGCTCAATTTTGCTCTTCAGAAACATGGAAGAAATTTTTTGCAGGGGTGGGGTGAAGGTAGAGAGACTAGGACTTCTAGAAATTAACAAAGTTTAACTCATTTTATTGGTAAGGAAACAGACTTCTGCTTATGAAGAAACAGAAAAGATACATGTGTGGTTTTTAACTTCTTTTACTTTTTGTTAGCTGTAAAGGATTGATTTTTAAGGTATGAAGAATCATGTTCAAAAGAGCCTAATGATAATGCCCAAAAATGTAGAGTTACTGGTACACGTATTACTTCATTGTACATTGCTGTATTAAATGTTATTTTGGTACTGTTTTACAGAAAAGTCTTTGAAATAAGTTATTAATCTTATCTAACATATTGCCACATTATGGTGTGACCACAACTGTTAGTAGGAAATTTTGCAGATGATACAGTGGTAGAAAGAAGAAAGAAAGAAACATGAATAAGGATAACTTGTACTGGAAAGTATAGTATTTTTGATAAATTAATCCACAGATGAAAGTGTAGAGAGATAATAGGTGATGGAAACTCAAAGGTGGGAGCGATCACTTAGAATTTTGTGAATTTAATACACAAGAAATAAAAGTCTCTAGAAGATGTATTTTAATTCTGTACGTGCTATCCATAGACTTCAAATTTTAAATCCTTGACCATTGTAACAGTTACAAGATAATAATAGATGCAGTGGAAGAGACATAATATATAAATCACTGAAGAACTAAACAGTTTATAAATCTTCCTTTCAGGCAAAAGAGTTTGACAGTAAAAAATGCTGAAAATGAAGAACGATAATATAAAATTTGTTTAAAAGGTTGGGTACTTTAAAAAATGAAAAAGACAAGCAAAGGCTAAGCCTTAGAAGAACTCTCCCTTATACAAAGAACCCAAACTTTTATAAATACTTAGATTTCTTAACTGATAGGTAAAAGAGCACTGCTCTCTCTTTAAACACTCAAAATTATTAATTTATTGCTATAGGGAAGTTTCTTCATGAAATGATCTCACCTCTATTGCTATACAATAAAAGAATTCTCAGCTTTTGAGAGCTTCTGGATTCCTTATGAAATATAGATAGACTTTTGCTTCTGAAGTATTTCAGTTTTTTTCCTTTAGATATGGAAGAAGCGGAATAAATAATAGGTATGGTCCTTCTTTTAAGATACAGGAATACCCATGTTTATAAAATAAAGGAGAAGAAAGTTTAGAAACTCTAAAGATCTTAATGGGAGAATTCACTGGAAATTAGCTATTTGGATGATGAAAATTTGTCAACCATCCACACTTAATGACAAAAAAGTGTTCATGTATTTTATGCTGCTAGGTACTTGGTGTGGCAGTTAGTCCTTCTGCAGAAAGTTTGTCCCTCAAAGCTTCATTATATGCACTGAGTACAATATACAGTATTCTCTGTGAAAGAGTATTTTAGGACAAAATACAGAAAACTCAGCAACTAATTCAAGACAATTGAAGATTTCTATGGCTTCTTTTAAAAGGATGGCCTTCAATTAGTCAGGTAGCCATTTCTTTTCTTTAACATCTCCAATCAGGTAATACTTGAGGAAAATGATTCCACAGAAAGGCATCCATTGAAGGCCAGAAACATCT